CGCCCCCGGGAGCCTGGCCCCAGGGACGGCTGAGCTGGCTGGGGTCAGGCTCCCCGCTGGCTATGAGGTCAGTGCCTTGGGGACAAAGACGCAGTGTCCTGGGCCTGGCACGGTGGGGACGGGGACCCCATGACCCCACACAGAACAGGCCAGGGCTAGGGTGCAGGGCGGGCTGAGGGATTGAGGTGGGGGCCTGGGGGAGGGGCAGAGTCCGAGCGAGACGAGCAGCAGAGACAGCAGTGGGGAGGCAGAGACGGAGAGGGAAGAGAGACAGAGAGAGATGAGAGACAGACAGAGACAGAGATGGGGAGAAACACCGAGGGCGCTGGGCGAGCCGGAGCCCGGGCAGACTCAGCCCCCTCCATGGTCCCGAGACCTCCCCATGCCAGGAGACTCCATCACTGGCCTCGTTTCACAGAAGGGGAAACTGAGTCCAGAGGCGCTCAGACTCCCTGGGGCTTGGGTCGGAGGCGAAGATGTGGATCCAGACCGCCCCGGCGGGGCAGAGCTTTGTCCCTTCCGGAGCGGGGCCTGAGGCTGGCCCTCCTCGCCTCAGCGTCGCCACCCGCCTGTGGGGGTCTCGTCGCCGCTGTGTCTCCCCGGGGCTTCTGCCTCGCCACACCTCTGTCCATTCCCCAGAGTCAGAGCAGCCGCAGGAAAAGCTTCAAGGAGGGAACTACAGGGGCGGGGGTAGAGGCAGAGCTGAACGCAGATGCCCCAGCCCTGAGGTCAGGCAGACACAGAGGCGGTGGGGAGGGCTGCCTGGAGGAAGGGCCTTTGGGCTGAGATTTATAGACTCAAAGGGTATTCCCAGCAAAGGTCATTGCAGGGCAAACGTCCACAGGACACACTTTGGGGACCACCAAGAAGAACAGGGCAGATCTGGGGCTCCCTGGGGCGAGACGAGGCTGGTGAAATGGGCTGGGCCCCTGAGTGCCAGGCTGAGGACTTGGCTTTCTCCAGGTTACTAGGGAGCCATGGCAGGTGTGTGATCAGGGGATGCCCCAGCCACATGTGAGGGGCGACACATGATCGAGCTCACAGCTGCAGCTCTCTCTGAGGTGGCGCATCTTAGCACACCCGCCTCCCTCCCTGCCCCTTGGCCTGCCTGATGCCTCCTCCGGGAAGCCCTCCCCACTGTCCCTAAAGCTCAGATGAGTTCCTGGGGCTGTTCTACTTTCTGACACCCACAGACTGGGGGGAGGGGGAAGCAGGAAGCACTGGGTCACAGGGGCCCAGCAAACATGGCAGAAGGAACCACAGCCCTCCCCACACCCTGGCTTCCGCCTTCTCAGGGAGTGCCACCTTCAGCCTGGAGGCGGGGGGCAAGGGCCCCCGACGCCCAGAGGGTCATCTAAAGAGGGCGCCAAAGGATGAGTAGGAGTTTGCCAGAGCATCTATTCACTGACTCGCAAACACGTACAGCCATTGTTCATCGTAAGAACATTTTGCCCATTGTTCAGCCAGGACTTCCTAATGCCTCCAGAGGATCAGCGGAGGCTGATTTAAAGAACACACAGAAGTGGGGTGCGGTGGCTCACCCCTGCCATCCCAGGCCGAAGTGAGAAGATTGCCTGAGTCCACGGGTTCGAGACCAGCCCGGGCAACTTGGTGAGACCTCATCTCTACAATAAATCAAAAAAGTAGCCAGGTGTGGTGGTGCACACCTGTGGTTCCAGCTCCTAGGAAGGCGGAGGTGGAAGGATCGCCTGAGTCCCAGCAGTCCGTGAGCGTGCCACTGCACTCCAGCCTGGGTGACAGAGCGAGACTCTGACTCAAAAAAAAAAAAGAATTTCAGATAAACCACACATACTTTGTTAGCATAACTATGTCTCAAGGATTGCAAAGGGCATACTTATCCTGAAAAATTAACCCTTGTTTATGGAAATTTTTTTTTTTTTAGTTGGAGTCTCACTCTGTCACCCAGGCTGGAGTGCAGTGGTCCCTCCCGGCCACCGCAGCCTCGACCTGCTGGGCTCCGGCGATCCTTCCGCCTCAGCCTTCCGAGTAGCCGGAACTACAGGCGCGCGCTACCATGCCCGGCTGATTTTTTGATTTATTGTAGAGATGAGGTCTCGTTGCCCAGGCGGGTCTCGAACCTGTGGGCTCAGGCCATCCACTCACCTCAGCCTCCCAAAGGCGCGGGATTACAGGCTGAGCTACCGAGCCTGGCTTGTCTATGGAAATTTCAGTTAACTGGCTCACTACCTTGGAGAACAGAGTGGCAGGTTTCCACACATTTATTTATGTATTTATTTAGACTCAGAGTCTCCCTCTATCGCCCAGGCTGGAGTGCAGGGGCACGCTCACAGCCACCGCAGCCTCAACCGGCTGGGCTTAGGCGATCCTTCCGCCTCAGCCTTCCAAGGAGCTGGAAACACAGGTACATGTCACCATGCCTGGCTGATTTTTTTCATTTATTGTAGAGACGAAGTCTCGCCAAGTGGCCCAGGCTGGTCTGGAATCCCTGGGCTCAGGGAATTCTCTCGCCTCCACCTCCCAAAGTGCTGGGATGACAGGTGTGAGCCACTGTGCCCAGCTGGTTCTCACACATTTAAAACAGAGCTACACCCGGGCTCAGTGGCTCAGCCTGTAATCCCGTGCCTTGGGAGGCTGAAGTGAGTGGATTGCCTGAGCCCGCGGGTTCGAGAACGGCCTGGGCAACTTGGCAAGCCCTCATCTCTACAATAAATTGAAAAAAAATTAGCCGGGCGTGGTAGCGTGCACCTGTAGTTCCAGCTACTTGGAAGGCTGAGGCGGAAGGATCGTCAGAGCCGGGAGCGGCCACTGCACTCCAGTCTGGGCGACAGAGTGAGACTCCACCTCAAACAACAATAACAACAACAACAGAGCTACATCACAGGACCCAGGAAGTTCATTCCCAGGTATTCCCAAGAGAACTGAAAGCAGGTGTTCACACACAATCATGCACACCAAGGCTTAGAGTGGCTCTATTCAGAATAGCTCAAAAGCACAGAAACCCAAATACTTATCTACAGATTAATAAGTAGACAAAATGTGCGTGTCCATATATACCACGGAGTATCATTCAGCCATAAAAAGGAGGGAGGCCCTGACACAGGCCACAGTGTGGACAAACCTCGGACACATGACACTGAGCGAGAGAAGCCAGACACAGAAGGTCGTGTCACATGTGGCTTCGTGGATCGAAACATCCAAGCCGGGCACAGCGGCTCATGCCTGTCATCCCAGCACTTTGGGAGGCCGAGGCGAGAGGATTGCCTGAGCCCAGTGTTCGAGAACAGCCTGGGCCACTTGCCAAGACCTCATCTCTACAACAAATAAAAAAATTAGCCGGGTGTGGTGGTGCACACCTGTGATTCCAGCTACTTGGGAGGCTGAGGCAGGAGGATTGCCTGAGCCCAGCAGGTGGAGGCCACGGTGGCCATGAGTGTGCCCTGCACTCCAGCCTGGGGGACAGTGAGACCCCGACTCAAAAAAGAAAGAAAGAAAGAAATGTCCAGAATAGGCAAATCCACTGAGACAGCATGGCTGTGAGGGACTGGGGAGGGGGTGAGGGGGACTGGTGAGGGGACGGGGTCTCCTTTTGGAGGATGAGAATGTTCTGGAATTAGATAGAGGTGGTAGTTGCACAACACTGTGAATACGCTAGAAACCACCATACCGTACACTTTAAAACAGCCAACTTTATGGCATGTGAATTAGATGCCAACTTTTAAAATTGCATGAGAGAAACACGTTTCCCCTGGAGCCCGTGTTTTTATTTTGCTCCATCTGGCCACCCGAACTCATAGTCAATAGTGCAGCCCCGCAGCCCTCCCTGGAGTCCCCACACACCAGAAAACACTCTCCAATGTCCAGACTCCACGGGGGGTCCTGGACAGCTGCAACCACAGAGACTGTGGGAGTCCCAGCGAAAGAACAGACGTGGTGCTGTCTTGGGACTTGGGACTTCTCAGCCTCAGTCTCCTCTTTGCAGAGTGGAGTCGAACAGGGACTCTCAAGTCCCTGTGGGAGGCGGTGGTCCCGTGGCACGGGGGCCACTGCCCAGCCAGCAGTCTCAAAGGCAGCCATCTCCAAGAAGAAACCGGCCGTGGCTGCGGCAGTGTGATCTAAATAAAGTTTTATTGGCACCAGGGCCAGGTTCAGCAAGTGAGGAAGGGAGGCCAGGTGGGGCAAGAACAAGGGAGGCAGGCGGCATAAGCTA